CACTTATCTGTGTTACTCTGTTTTCCCACCGAACATAAATCCAATGCCCAGGTTTAGCTTATAAAAATATCCAGGACATAAAATAAAAGCAGGGAAATGAAACAAACTTCTGCCATTTGTCTTCTCCCCCTGTTGCTGTGAATGGACTGATGTAACGCATCATCATCGCAGAAAAATCACTTACTGTTTAAAAGAGAGAATCGGCGACAAAATATGGACACAAAAAGCTGCTTACCAAATATTTAGTACGTGTTACCAGCGACTGTATGACTTCCTAGTTATCACATTTAAAACCACGAGAAGAATGTTCATTCAATCGCAGAAACGCTTTCTTTCAACATCAGTTAGCTTCCCAGCTAATAACCCGGTGCCCAGCTCACATGCGGCACACGCAGGCTAAGCTGTTAGCCGGCTATCTGCCAGTTCCGATCGTTACCCAGTCCCCGCCAAACGACATCTTCATAAAACAAACTCACCTGTGTCATAAGGTTACAGAACGACGCGCCTGAATGTTCCGTGCTGACTTTGTTTAAATGTCCGATTCGGTTTTCTTTCTGGTGTTTTGTTTTTTTTAATGAGTAACTCGGGCCCGCTAGCTCACATTCATGGGTGTGCTAATTTGTCGACCCGGAAAAGATCGTAGAGACCTTCCACACGCGCGCATGTGCAGAACGAGTTTGGTTCTTTGGTCACATGACGCGGAGGGCCAGCTGATCATCGCCGACAAGATCACGACCGTCAACTCGATCTGCTCTTCTAATCCTACACGAAGAGCAAGATTTTAGCTGTTATATGTCTAGATTAATAATTCAGGATTCGAGCTAAAGTTGTAGTGTTGATTTAGGGAAGCGGGAGTGAACTGAAAATCGCAGTAATCGACAAAAAACGGAAAGATGTCTGGAAAAGAAAGGATCGACATATTCCCCTCCAGAATGTAAGCAGCTTGTGCGATGGCTAGTTGCTAAAGCAATGTAGCTTCCTTAAAGCACATATACCACTGTTTTGTTGACATATTTGCTTTTATATATGGAAGTTGTGGATAATTTTCTGCATGCATTTGAAAAGCAGGGATCGCCGTTTTGTTTTGTGCCAAGGTTACCGTTTAAAAGAGGAAGAATCCTGCTGCTGTCATGTGACATTTCTAACATTATCCAAGTGTGAGCTGTCAGTCGGAGAGACTTCATTTTAATTTTTTAATTTCACCTGCTTCCAGTTGTATTACATTTAGGACTACTGAAACTGTAAAACACCGAGGTTTGACCCTTTTATCAGGTCCTGGGTGCAAATATCAGTGAGCTGTGAATGTAGAGGAGTGGTGCAGATTGTGTTGTTCCTTACCTTGTTTTAAAAATAACGCTATTACACAAATTACAGCATGTGACACCTTCTGTCCGTAGACTCTTGGTTCAGATAAGATCTCCTCCTGAAAAAAAATCTGAAATTTCTGAAAATTTCTAAAATTCGGAAATGGTGAAAAACAGAAGAAATCTCAGGAAAATTAATGGAATCTCTCTTCCACGAAGGGAAGGGATTCAGCAGATGTTGTACAGCATAGAGCAACAAAAGTACATTTATATTATAGACGATCAGGATGACATCATTAACAATCTAACATGTAACAATCTGTGAGTAATGTGACACAAAAGTGGGCTTGAATGTTGATGGCTGTATATTTTCGGCTGCTCCTTTATTCACAAAGAGGGATCCACAGAAGATGGATCCCCATATTTAACTGGTCTTAATCCAGGGATCTCTAACCTTTACACTATGGAGCCATGTTAAATTCCAACACAGGCCTAAGGCAGCATATGAGTCACCTGCTCAAGTCTGGAAAGAGCTGGGGAAAGATTCTGATTTGGAAAATTTTATTCAGCCTTTATTTAAATTGAAAGTTATCAGTCATGATAATTGAAATGAAAAGTCAATGAACAGTCAATAACAAGTGAGTTACAACTACTTAGCCATTTTGCAGATAAAATTCAACTTGTCAGCAGCTCATTGTAAGGTCTCCCACCAGAACTACAACACATGGACTTATGTATTAGCTAGATGAAAGAGAAGAACAGATACTACTACTTATTCATTTAAGGTAAGCTAGCAAATGGCTGGATGAATTAGAACCCAGGCCTCCACACTATAGCCATGTAATATACAGGTTTGCCTGCTAAAACCAGTGAACCACACTGGTGCTCCAGAACAAACTACTACTCTTGACAATTAGCATTTAGTAGCCTGGTAGAAGAGGGAACAGAGGAGTTTCAGTAGTGTTTTTTTTTTTTTCGCTTCATGGGTGCAGGATAGCCCTGACCTGAGGGCACTGAAATAAACTCACTAGAGTGAATGTGGCCACCTTGATTAATAAGACCGTTTTCTTTCTGAACTACACGTTTCTTTGGAGTATAAGACTTTAATAATGCTATTAAGGCTGTTCCTGTCCTTCAGAGATGACCCATTGAACCAGTATATGACATAAAATGATGAAATGGAGAAAATAAGAAGCAAATCCATTAAAAAAAAAAGAGCTTTAACAAGCATAGAGGTCGAGAGAGAAAAGATGAAAATCTGCCAGTTAAAAAAAAAAAAAACTGGGGTGAGGGTATCAACTACCAGAGAAGAGAGACAGAGACCTTGGGATGGCCTAAGGTCTGAGTGAAAACATGACAAGGAGATGAAATGAATGAAACTTGGTTGTGGTTGTGTCATTTTACCCCTAATTTAACCATCTGATTCAAATAGTGTTAAAAATATGTGGGTTTTCTCTGGATTTGCAGGGCTCAGACCATCATGAAGGCTCGGATGAAGGGAGCACAGACCGGCCGCAACCTGCTCAAGAAGAAGTCCGATGCCCTCTCCATGCGCTTCCGTCAGATCCTTCGCAAAATTATTGAAGTCAGTTTAAAATGAGCCTTCGTTTTTGGTCCTAATGTGGTCTGAAAGAACAGATGATGCAGTAAATACTTTATTCATACATCATGCTCTTTGGTTGGAGGCTGTAGCTCATGATAATGCTCAATTAATCTGATACTAAGAGGAGTTTCTATAGTAATTAATTGGGTACCTTCATTGTTATAAACTAACAAATTACAGCCAGTCTGAATCAAAACCTCATGAAATAAAATCTTCCTGAAGGCTTTCAGCTACATGTTTCCCAAAGGTGTGTTTATTTATACTTTTAGACTAAAACCAAGATGGGAGAGGTGATGAGGGAGGCTGCCTTCTCATTGGCTGAAGCTAAATTTGCTGCAGGAGACTTCAGGTAAGAATGAGAATAACGTGTCAGCGACGTGATGTTGTGTTCTGGTGCAGATACACAAACAACTTCCATCTGTTGTTTTTGGCCTTCAGCACAACTGTAATCCAGAATGTTAACAAAGCCCAGGTGAAGGTCAGAGCCAAGAAAGATAATGTGGCAGGTTAGCATCAAAAAATATTTTCTCATTTTTAATCATTTTTTGTTTTGTTTTGTTTAAAATATCTGCTGCTTTTCCTCTTTTAGGTGTCACCCTTCCAGTATTCGAACACTACCAAGAAGGCGGAGACAGTAAGTCCAGTCACACGTCTGAGTTTGGTGTAACTCTACATCGGGTTTGAAGGGAATTGCAAAGAGCGCTCACCCCACGATGTGTTTGTGTCTGTCAGGTTATGAGCTCACCGGTTTGGCGAGAGGAGGAGAGCAGCTCTCGAGGTTGAAGAGGAACTATGCCAGAGCTGTGGAGCTGCTTGTGGAGTTGGCCTCCTTACAGGTAGGAGGCGCTGTTACATATTAAAAGCATGCTTTATAGTTAGAGGTTTTTCCCCCCCCAATGGTATTATCATTGAAAAAAGCACAATGTAACGTCACTCATTGACGTCAACTAAAATTGTATTGATGATCTCAAATGTAACTGTGCACAATGTGAGTGTATAATCAAAGGCTCACATCCTAAATGACCAAAACAACTCATGAAAACAAAGGGGTAGCGTCTCCCGCTATAGTTTGTGTATTCCTGCTATGTGGCATATCACTACAACATTTCCACAAAGGATACATTCGTTACACTGAGTCTGTGTGGATTACAGATGCAGATAAAATGTAATCTATACTCTAGAAAAGCTGAAGCTTAAGTGGAAAAAATTGCTCAATTTTGGTTTGCAGACATCTTTTGTCACTCTGGATGAAGCCATAAAGATCACCAACCGCCGCGTGAACGCCATCGAGCACGGTAAACACACTCAACATTCAACTGCAACCTTTTATTAATACATTTATTTATTTATTTATTTTTAAATTAAAAAAAAAAAGGGTTGGTGCAGCTAAAATAATTTTGAATGTGCTTTGCAGTGATTATTCCCAGGATTGATCGCACCCTCACCTACATCATCACAGAGCTGGATGAGAGGGAGCGAGAGGAGTTTTACAGGTGATGATGTTTTCTGTCTGCCTTGTGAAGGTTTGAGTGCATAAACCTAAAAAAAACTTATCAGGAGGCATCTTTTTGCATGTTTATTAGATATTCCTGTTCCAACTGGCTGTCCACAGCTCCGAATTCATTCTGTCACTACCCCAAGTCCAAAACCAGACTGCCCAATCCTCAATCTTTGGTTATAACACAGAATGTTCTCTGCTCTCTGCTTTGCCAGACTGAAGAAGATCCAAGAGAAGAAGAAGCAGCTAAGGGAAAGGACGGAGTTGGAAATAGCCGCCCGTTTAGCTGCTCTGGGACCCATCGCTGAGCCCGCCAACATGCTGACAGAGGAGGCGGATGAAGATCTGCTGTTTGAGTGAGGAACATTACAGGCCACCGACTTCACTAATCCTTTTATTTATTCTGTGCCTCTCTGGCCACGTCTGCGTGTCTTTACGTCAGCGATGAAAGTTGTTTCTTTCTTTTTTTTGGTGTCCACGTCGTGATGATTAGTTCTGAGTGTTTCCAGATGTGTACAGGGATCAAAGTGCTGTTCGGTATAATACACAAGTGAGACCAAAGCAGTCTCTAACAAATTAAGCAAATATTACAATGAATATGTTTACACATGGTGTGCAAGTGATGATAAAGAAGCGTCCCGTGTGACTGATCACCTTGTAGATATTCAAGTTTTATCATATATAGAGGCATTGCATGCTGTACAGCTTAAAGTGGTTGTGGATTTCAGAGGGTGCGAGTGTGCGCCGTGGAGACCCGTCCTGCTGCTCACTTCATATCGTGCGGTTCCTGTTACCTCACTGGAGGCTGCTTACCATTTCACCAGAAGCCCCAATGTGACCCTGTTGTAAAATGTGATGTGCAAGTCAAAACAGCCCAACACTTCATCCAAATAAAGATGTTCTAAATATTCAACCACTGATTGAATTTCTTTTTCCCCCACTGAAGGGAAAACATTTTAAGTTCCATATGTGAAGACTGCTAAGAGACTGCTTCAAAACCTTTAATCAAGTGCAAATTATACTGTGTTTAAGCAACTCTATAGATAAGGAATGACAGCAATTTGGGACCAGAATGCTAAATGTATTTAAAATGCATTTTAAAAAATTAAATGTTATCTTTTTTCAAAGGAGATCCATTTCAGAGGTGTTCTCACTATTGGATACACCCCATTTAAGTGAGAGGAGAAACGGAATAAGGAACTTATGTTAGTTACCCAGTGGCTCTGGCAATAGTGGCACCACAGTAGATTTAGACACATTAACACTGTGTTGAAAAATGTTTTTAACTGCAATCTAAACTTATGAAAGAAAAAAAAATCTAGCATGCTGATAAGTCTTTTGCCAGTTTGGTCAAATTTGTTTTTTAAACGTGCCTGATGGCCTTGATGGACATGGTTATTGCTTCCTGTTCTTAGCTGCAGCCGGTTTGATAGTCTACTGCTGTCACCCATCTGCTTCAAGGTTCAATATATTGTGCATTCGGAGATACTCCTCTGCATACCTTGGCACTGACAAGTAGCTAGTGGTTTAGACCAGCGGTCCCCAATCCCAGGGCCACAGACCAGTAACAGGTATCAGGCCGCGAGAGTTGAGGCTCGGGTGTAAAATTTATGGTTTTCAGGGTTATTATCGTTAACTCTGTTTCCCTGGGTCTTTTCCCATGTGTTAGGAATAAATCTTCTTTTTCTGGTACTGGTACTGGTTTTATTTTGTTGTATTTATCCACCACACCTTACAGGACAGTCCGTGAAAATATTGTCGGACATAAACCGGTCCATGGCACAAAAAGGTTGGGGACCGCTGGTTTAGACCATTCATTCAAACCAGGTACAAGTGTATCTAACAAGGTGGCTGCTCAATGTATATTTTCTGAACTTCTGAAAAATCTTGTCTTGACAAATACCCAAATATAACCATATAAAAAATAAAACTAACACTGAAAACAAAAACTAAAAATTCTCAAACATTAAAAGCTAAACTCAAACCACCAAACCTGGAATCTGAACTGAAATGAAAACTCAGAACTACAGAAAAGATAAAAAGAAAACCTTCTCTTCGATATAAAAGCCAGACAAAATATGTGACTTGTTCACATGTGTTTTATTTTATTAACAATTCATGAGCACAAAATTGTGCCTATGAATTTGCAAATGAACTGCAAAGAATCAATACAGTATTTGTTGGAATCACACTAACTGATAACAGCTCTTATCAATACTGATAGAAAAACAAAAAAAACAAAACCAGAAACTCGGCAGTACTTAGCAGCATTACTGTTTGTAACGACAACCAGCTACAGTGGTTTGTTATCACAGCGTAAAATCATAAAATGAGACACAAAATAAAATACTGACAATGGAAGTACCTCCAAACTGTGCAGATTACAGCAGATCTCTCTCCTGCACTTCTGAGTGGAAGACGATGCCCTGCAAAAAGCACTGATGCTTCTCTTCTGTTTGGTACCTAAAGAGTTTCTGATCTGCTGCTTCATTAGGGAGTCAATTAAAAACCAACACATAAAGACTCTCCCACACACAAACTGTAACAGTAAAACACTTGATCCTTTGGTCTAGAAAATATGTATGTACAGTTATAAATAACTATTAAGCATAGAATAGAAATGGTTCTATTTTGTTGATAAATGACTTTGCATAAAACTGAGATCAACAGAGAAACAAAAATCACCAACAGACACACACCGACAACAAAATCAAAGATTAAAATTGAGTCCATCCCTGTAACGATCACCTCCTCTACAATCGAGGAAAATGTGCAAGTCAAATTCCAGTGACAGTTTACCAACCGTCCTTGGTTCGTTTTTCACTCTCCAGTCTTCTGTTTACGTCCTTCGACTCATGGTGCTGGGACACAGTGACCTCTAACACAGCCAGGACGTGGGCACCCACTGGGGCTCAGTGTCCAGTTTATCTATCAGCCTGCGCAGCTCGTGGAAAGCCTGGTCTGGATCCATGTTCAAGATGGTCGCATCAAAGTAGTGGCCGAAATTCTGCTCCATCTCGCGGGCCTTTTCAATGACCTCCTTCAGCATCTCCGGCTGTGCACAGGACATGGACATCAGTTCAAGAAACTGCAGTAGTGAATCTTATTATCACGTGTCTTCATTCTCAATAGCAGTCTTCATGAACAGAGGCAATGTTTATTTACTGATTTTTATATCTAAATTTGGATCCAATACATGTACACACATAAAAACGTACCTGGGACTTTTCCCCACATATTAACTGCGATCTATAAGAATGTGTCATGTGTACTTCACACCATGTACACACATTTTTTTTAAGAGTAAGTCTGTTATGAAGTTCAAGTCAAAAATAGCGTGATAAAATTTAAAATAATTAAAAAAGGCATTTTTTTTTATTATGGAATCACCTTTTGTTCTTCATAAAATAATAAAACGGATTTGCCTTTCTATTCAGATGATGCTATAAATTCTTTTCTCTCTATAAGTTAACACATAAATGAAAAGGATGAGATCTTGTTTTTGTTTTTTGATCCATTTTTATTTTTATATCATCATCTTGGCCGGCACTACTTCAAAGACCGGTGCTGTGCTGACAGACTTTTGAAAAGCCGATGATGTGATGATGTCATTTTATTTAGTAAAGTGAGTAAAATTTATTTATTAATTAAGCGCTTTTCACAGACAAACAGTCACAAAGCGTTTGTGTGGGCTTGGTTGTTTCTGAGACCATTAAACCAAACACCTTTCCTTCTCTCTACTTCTTTAGTCATAATTTTGTCTAAGAGTTTATGGTCTAAAGAGTCTTTTTTCACAAGCAAAATTACCCAGATTAATTCATGACTAAAGCTGGGATTGGGAATTGAGCTAACAGTGTATGCAATTTATAAACAGGACTATGTACTGCTCTCCATGTCTGATGAAACAATGCCCCTTTCTGCCTTTGTGTTTACACACAATTTCACTTTTGTTTGGTTTGTGTGCATCTTATCTCATGGCGATTCTGTGAGTTAGAGACCAGTTTTTATGCAATATATGTGAGTAAATAATGGTCATTCCCTGCTCTGCCTGAACTATGTTTTCTTTTCTGAGCTGGTCAGCATTTACCTTTGGTGTTTTCCCCTCTGTGGCCAGCAGGGTGCGTAGTCGCTCCTGAGAAGGAGGAGCTATGAAGATCACATATGGCTTAAGGTTGGAGGATCTCAGGACTCGCAGTGACTGACAGAAGAAAAAAAATCAAGGCACAAAGAAACAAAATGAATGGAAAGAGCAACACAAGGAAAAAAAAACAGATTAAATATGGTGTCTTCAAATGTGTTATTTCAGCTTTGATCAGGCTTAGACAGGATTAAGACTTATGTTGAGGAAATGAAAAGGGGTCATTATGTTCTGGCAGGGCCACAGTGGTTAAGATCACAGATGAGGGAGGATCTAACGGGCTTTGTAATTAACATGTTAGTGTCTGGACAGTAACGAGGTCTCTTACCCTTGTGTGTAGGCAGAGCAGACAGATGCGTCCAGAGTTGATGACGTGTCGGACGGAGTCTGTGCTGGTGCCGTACAAGTTCTTCTCGTACTCCCCCGATTCGATGAACTTCCCTGTCGCCAAGTCGGCTTCAAAGGCAGAACGAGTTACAAAATGGTACTCGCGCCCATTCCGCTCATGTATCCTCGGGCTCCTGGTTGTATCTGAGCCGTTAAGAAGGACAGATATAACTGTTTTACATTTTCTGAGCTTTAAGTTGTCTATATATATATATATATATATATATATATATTTATTTATTTATTTATCTGTGTGACAAACAGTTGTGCATTATGTGATAAGTTAAATGGTTTCACTTCTTTACTGAACACCAGAAACACGTTCTGCTCATCATCTGAGGTCTGTGATTAACATTTCACATCGCCTCGCTCTGGGCTCTGTTGCTTTGACCAAGCGGAGACTTACGTGGAACAGCGACAGCAAACTTCTCGGGTTCGATGGAAAGAAGCCTCCGGCGCAGCTCATCGTGACCGCTGTTTGTTGGGCCGATCAGAGCTATGGGGCGTTTGCGGTTGGCAGGCTGGTGATAGAGCGACATCTCCTCATAGGTCAGGATGTCATCGTAGTCTGAGGAGACAGCGTGGGAGGGGTTATTGAAACATCCCTGACCTACATACCAAATTACTGCTCTTGGACTGACCTGTGACCTCTCTGTGGAGGATAGAAAGATGCATGGGACTAAGAGATCAATAAATTTACAGTGTTTGAGTAAAGTTTTTTTCCCCACAGTGCTTCATATCTGACCCTCATGGCTCACAGTCTGCCACTTTTAGCCGTGGATCAGGTTCATTAGAACAGTATGTGTGCCACTTAGTGAATATTTGTGTTTCTATGTGTGAGCCAATCACAGCACAGGTTCCTCCAAGCCATTTAGGCACCTGCTGGTCACCTGTTCGTGCTCCCTCTGATCCTGTCTGTGAGGGTAGGACTAATCTGACCGGAGACACACCAAGTCTGATCAAGCTGAAGTGAGAAAGACGAGACGTGTCAGCTCTGGTGTGGAAGTGGTCTTTCACGTGTGATAAAGACAGAGCGACACTGGGTTAAGACTGTAACCAGAGCCCACTTTTAAATGGGATTATTACTCAAACCACTGAAGAGCCACACAAGAGAAGAAAGCCTTACCTGTACTTTTGCTGGACTGTGACGTGCTCTTCTTCCTCTGTTTCTTACTCTTCTTTGGGTACCAATTCTTCCCTGTTATTACAAAGAAATTTGCTTTAAAAGGCAAATTATCACAAGACTGTTAAAACACGCTGAGCACGTTAACCTCTTCTTACCTTGCTGCTCTCGACTTCTCTCTGTTAGAGTTTTCTTTAATGTCTCTCTCTGTTGCTGGAAGCTCTTACCTAAAAAAAAAAGATACAACATACAGACAGTTATTAGT